GAAGAGACAAAGAATTGGTTTACTTTGCATTGGTTTCATTCGCGATAAGCGGACACGCAATAATTACTGTACAATTATTATTATCGGGGATCATGAAAAAAAAAGAACATATTGTACATCTAAGGGACATATTATGTAAAATTTATCGCTCGGAAGATCAGTACTTTTGACGTTAATCAAGAGAATGCGTGTACTCGAAATTTTACACATGTAACACACGAGAGAAAAAAATGAGACAGGAAAATATAAAAAAAAAAAACCGCCCGCGTCAGGAAAAATGGCTATACTGTTGATCAACGATACGTCATATCCTGTTATTGTTAGAAATCTCGTTTCTGCAAATCAACAGGTGACGTAACGAACCCTTGAGCCATCCGCTGTTAAAGTGTCGCGTCTGTCTAAAGCGTGTTTCGCGATGAAAAGCGTGAAGAAGTTATGGTAAATTTGTTTTTTAGTTATTTTTGGTCAACTAAGGCTTGATCGCAGATTAGACACAGGCGGAGAGAATAATCTATTTTGCCAAAATTTCAGAAAAAAATGCGTTGAAAACTACATTATTCACTGTGCGGCACTATGTAACTGACAAATCGATGAATAAACCAATTTAAGACAAATTATATGCTTTACAATACTCCAGTGTTCTGCATTATTGTAGTGTATTCGCACTGTTAGAATAACCTTTCGAAGAGTAGCAGCTATACACATTTTAAAAAATAATTAAAGTTTACAATTCATCAAATGATTATATAAATACTGCAAAGAAAGAGAAAAGCTGTCGCTCTGCGGGGGAGGAGGCAATGGCCTTTCAAAAAACTATTTCAGTTTCGGTGCAACCCATTTTGTATAAGTAAATTATCAGAGAAACCTTAACACACATACAAAAGACGCTCCAAAAGATATCCTAAGGCATCCAGAATCCTCCATATGGAGAATATAATGGAAACGTTCATCTTCGAACATCTTCTATAGATTATCCTTGGATCGTCTTGGATATATTGTGCTGATGTGAAAAAAGTTGTCGAACGCTGCTGCGTTTTCACCCGGCTTCATTCTATCCAACTCTATCGTAAAGTCTCTTTTCTTTTCCGTCTTATTGTTAGTCGTGATCTTAAAATCGCGAGTGTCATCGGACGATATCGCTTAATTATGCGTAATTACTCTCGCGTAACTCGCGTTAATTGTCACGATTTGTTGCGACGGCATCGAGAGCCTAATAACGCTCATAAAAATTGCTGCACTACAGTGGCGAGGATTTTTAATTGTCTGTCGAATTACGTCATTCAAGGGAGAAAACTAAACTACCCTTCCTCCGCTATTTCAGAAACGGAAGGGTGCGACAATGGAACCATTCGGACGATTTCCAACAAACGATGAGTCTCGCATATGCAACGCACAATAATAATCCCGCTGCACCGTGCAGTAATTGCGCTTTCGCATGCGTAACCCGGTTAATTGATCGATAAGGGAAAGTAAGAGGACGCAATATTAGATGAAAAAGGGAAGCTTTTCATATTTCCTTTGCAAGCCGTAAAAGTATTGTTTCTTATCGTTTATCAACGTGGCTATGTATCGTCACAGTATAGATAATGTCTGATATAAAACGTGGGAGCAATTTGTTCATCGTTACAAAACGGATACGCATTATCGTATATTGATACGCGGCTAATAATTTTCGTTGCCTTCGATATTCCGTAATGGAAATTAATCGCGTTGTTGATAATAATGTTTACATTATTTCACAATACGTTTCAAGTCCGGCGATATCGACTCGAATTTGCGCGACAAGGCTAATACAATTTGTGCGATATAGAGGAGAAGAGAGAGAGAGAGAGAGAGAATTGTCTCTATAAATATTTCGAAAAAATAAGCGGCATAAGCAAACGTCACACCGATCGTGTGATATTTTATATACGCCGTCAGTAGCGGCGACGTTAGATATCGCGATATGCCACGCATCAGTCGAGTTCCCAAAATAGAAACGAAAAAGACTCCCGTCGGATCTTATCACGTTTTCTTGATATATTATGTAACGAGTTAACGCGATTAAAATTTCTAGTTATTCGCGTTATTCGTCGGCGCGAGTGTTGTCGGATTACAAGAGCGCTGATTTGTAATATGAGCAAACATTTGTTACATAATCGTACTTAAACGCGATCGATTGTGAAGAAATAATTCCAAGTGTCTGGATGACCCGAATGCGATTGTAAATTATATAAAACGTAATAAAGATGATACATGTGTCACTTGACAGAAGCGATCGTGTGGAAAGTAGCGAGAGAAACTTTTTATTCGATTTCTCTTTCCTTCTCCCGAATAATTTCGCGGAGAAGCGCGGATTTTTTCTCTCTCTCTCTCTCTCTCTTCTCGGAGGGAAGGGGTTCGAAACTCTCTCTTGGATAAAAAACGGCATTATTTGACGAAATTACAAAGGACCGTTCCCATCCGCGTCCCACGTTCAACCACGACGGCAGCGACGACACGAAATCGTACGTTCTGAATTTTAGGTGCACCACTGCATTTGCATAATGATAATGATTTACATAATCACAATGATAACTCGAGGGTGATCCAGTGCGCGCGTTCGTCATCGTCCTGCACATAAAGTGTCCTAATTTTGCGTACGGAGGAATGAATATTTTCTCCAGTATTTTACCATTTAAAAGATTCATTTTTACAGCTCAAATTTTTTTATTATAATTGTCAGACTTATAAGTCAAAACTCACGAAAATAAACTTTAATTTACAAATTATTGCTAAGATTGATTTGAAAGCAAAGAGAATAAAATATTTGGGGCGATTTTACCTTGTGTATATCGAACCACGCATTTTTGCACGTTGTAATAAGTACTCCCGCGCGTAAACGAGTGTACGTGCAATAGAGAGGAACAGTCAATCTTCTCGATCCACGGGGTTGAATACACACATACATATACGTAGACAAGACATATAAGGCGTAAAAGACGCACGCGCGCGTATGGGAGCGAAATAGCTGGCAATTTGCAGGTTTACGAGTTATTTCACAATGGCTGCAAAGTATAGTGCTACAGTATTATACCGCCGTAGTAGTGGCTCGAAAGAGTGTACATATATGTGTATGTGTGTGTGCGAAAGTTACATCGAAATAGGACGTATGTGCATGTATAGGAACTACACTGGAAAACAATTGTTGCATTAAAAAGAATTCTGGTCGATTTAACCAGAATTTTGTTTCGTCGATTTTCGAACAAAATTTTTGATAATACAACTCATTTTTTTTTCTAGTGTAGGGTATCACCGTCGATGGATGGTTTATTGTCCGAACAGTGTACAAGGCAGAGGTACACGACTATCCTTGTTTCACTGAAACCCTAAGCCCTTCTGCGTTGCTACATAATCGGCTTTCGCACGCGTGTTCACTTCGTATATTTCAAGACATAACCCGTCCTATAAATCCGTCTGATGATTGAGCATTTTTACGTTCTGTCGGTTCGATTATCCTCGAAAAATCTAAAATAGAGGCACATTTTGCGATTTTCGACATTTTTAAGACCACATAGTCTGAGTTCGTGAAAAGAAAAAAAAAAGAAAAATCGCAAAGAGTATATGGTACGCGAACGATTACCGACACCTCGTAAGGAAGAAAAGTAAAAAAAGAAAGAAATAAACGGCGGAGAAAGAGTAAAACAGACGAAACCACCATCACCCCGAAGAAGAAAGATTAAAGAGCAGCTTGTACGCCCTCGCCGGAATGATGGATGCGATCCGTGAGATGCGGGCGCCGTTCGCCGAGTAGGTGGAGACTTCTATTTCCATTCCCGCGTGCACGTTGTTCCTCGTTTCCCTACAGCGTTCGTCTTTGGCGCGCCGTTGGTCCCCCTCGTTGTACGCGCTTTAATCGATCATGAGCGCTTCGCGAAAGAATAGCGCGAACGCAGCTTCTCCGAGAAGCTTATCGAACACGCGATCTCGATATCTATACCGCGATTTCTAGATTTGCGTACGAGTGTTCGGAAGCTTGACCGACCATCTTCGGTGGTAGATGAGTAGCTTTGCCACGCCGGGCTGAGAAGATATTGCCCGCGCGCGCGAACAATAATCTAAATGGTAATCCAATACCACACCCTCTTCGCAAAAAGCGAAAAACCGCGAGGGGTCACCGCAAAAAGCGTTAACAAGGCTGCGATGCGAAGTCCGGCTAATTCTATAACTTCGCCCCTCCCTCCTTCCACCCCCTCCCGTACCTATGTATTCTATAAGCTCGTATAGCGCTCCGAAATGTTCGTTGTCGGATCGTCTTCTTTGCCTCGCAACACCGTCAACGAACTCGCCGTTCGGGGACGGTCGGTCGGTAATTATCTCCCGGCCGTGTAAAAAATATAATTAGCTTCCATCGTTGCATTAATTAAAGCACCTCCCTCCATCTTTCTTTCTCTCTCTCCCTCTTTCACTCGCTGGCCGGTTCGCCATCTCGTTTCGCGCGCGGGGAGAGCTCCGCCGTAATTACACGTCCCTCGCGGCACTAACCAGTGTCCCACAAAGGTGACCGCGCGGTTGTTCACGCCCACGACACTCGGCCTGGGTTCGCGGGATCGGGTACGGCACGCACGGCACGCATCGCCGATGCTCTCTACCTCCCGGACAAATTTGTCGGATCGTTCATTTTACAAACGCATTTTCTGTCGCGTTCCACACGACTTGTATACCATATATCGAATGAGCCGGATTTGAAGCTTAATTATTTTGAAGCACATAGTTCTCTGCCGCAAAAGCGTTCAGCAAAAGGATGATTAAGCCAGCGATTTCCCATACATTATATTGCAATATGGTATATTATAAAATTTGCAAAAATTGGGGTTCTGTGTGTTAGACTTGATCAAGTTTCAAGCTCAGATTGAGAGAGAGAATATCGGAAAGAGTGACGATAAAATACCGATATGTTAGAGCGTGTTAGTATCGCTGAAGACGCGTGATCATACGCGAAAAGCCGAGGAAGACGTACGTATTTACTAATAAGTACTTGCCTGACGCACCTGTCTGAATTGTTCTTCGAAGTTCCAGTTGGGTCCGGACGGATGCTGATTGTTCACCGTCGCCGCGCCGCGAGGCTCACTCTCACGAGACTCTCCGTTATTTCTGCTACTTCCTTGCGAGGATGATTCGCTGTTGCTGTTTCTGCAGACTCGTTGCGGCGACTCGCCGGTCTGCGAATTGGCGGGAGGTCTCGACAGCATAATTGTAGGATCGACGATCAATCCGGTATTCGACACGAGTGGCTGCGAATGATTGTTCTGCGGATGCTGCTGCTGTTGCTGGTGTTGCTGCCGCGGCGGTATTATTGGCGGTATCGACAGCGGTGTTGGCGGTGGTGATCCGTACGAGGGCATGAAGGGCATGGAGAAGTGACTGGCCATTAAATTCTGCAGAGAATAATTGTTCATGGTTCGCACCTTCTCTCCCTCGGTGCACTATATGAACACAAAAATTGCCCCACAATAATATCTGATTCATCAAAGTCAATCCTATAAAAGCTTATATACGGTAAAAAGGAATTATCATCTAGTTGATTAACATTATAGAGAGAAGGCACACGCGCACGTACATATACACCCGAGTTGCTTTTCTATGAAAAGTAATATCTTACAAAATCCTTATTCCAGCATTTGCGAAACTTGAAAACATTATAAATTACGTCTTTTACTGAACAATATAATCAGTCAGATATCAATCGCTCTATTATTATTCATTGTCAGCTTAAGAGATATAGTAGAAAAAGAGTTTGCAACATTTTTTCTAAGAACTTTAAAAAAAGAGGATCTTTTAATTTTCACACACGCGCGTGTGTATACTATTGTGCACTATGTGATTTCTCTCTTCTTATCAGAATATACCGATCGTAAAGATATTTGCGCTCATCTAGTGTCATCCGGTTTAAGCTGTTGCGTAATAAAAAGAAAAAAAGAAATCTATTGTCACGGTGACGCAATAGTAACTCATTTATGACTGTCAACGTCCGCTTACGACTATCTCACGATTTTCTACGATTCGTGTTACCCCACTTTTGTGAGTCAATGAACGCTCAAATGTGTCGAACAACTTTTATGACGAATTATGCGTTGCTTATCTTACAGAAACTTAATGGGACTAAACGATAGGGAGCTCATCACAATAAGGCTATTTTTCGAAATCTATCTTTTTTCTTTCCTTCCCCTTTCTTTCTCCCCCCACCCTCTTTCTCGCTCTCTCTCTCTCGCTCTCTCTCTCTCGCTCTCTCTCTTTCTCTCTTAGTGCCGATAAAGCGTGTATACTCAAAGCGAAATACTCTACACGGAAGCAAGTGTCGAAGGAGATTAATATACAACAGGTAAAACAAGTTAGTTGCTCTTCACCAACCATGCTTTTAAGCTTCGTCAGAATTTGCGGATGCATGTTCATTAAACTGTTTATTTGATCTAATGAAGATGTGCTAGCAGCCCCAATGTCCATCGGCAGCGATTGCGAGCTGCCTTGAAGCGGTTGCGAAAGGAAGTCTTCATCATCTTGTACCTCATCGTCATCCAGATCGGAGTCATTCTCTTCTTTATATGACTGAAATCATAAGAGAACACAAAATTTTGATCGTTTAGTCTAATTTAATTTTATTGAATTTTATTTCAATATTAGACTCTAATTCAATATTATAGAGACATTTTTCTCGTATTTCTCATTAAATAAATAAACGATATCATTATGTAACGAGTCATATAAAGTTGTTAAACAAAACTATTCTTTCTACTAATATAATATTTTTTTTATATATATTGATAATCATCAGTCGAGCTTTTTGCTTTTCTTCATTTTCGTTTCAAACTTATGCAAATTTCGCGATTAGGTGACGAGATTTCGCAAGGTGATTACCTCGAAAAACCTCGATGGTGTATTTTACGTAGTCGAAATGGAATAAGAAACACAGCAACATCTATTGATAACGCGATACCAACCGCGCAATCGTGAAGCAACGAGGGCATAGATAGCGAGACATTAAACATTAATTAGGAAAATGGCGAATGCAATGAGTTATATACACCGAGATAGCCGCTATCGAGTAACATTATTATGCTACGGGTGTCATAAGTGTTTTACGGCTGTGCCCATTGCGCGTCGGTGCCGGCATAAAAATGTACAAAGTCACATTACCGAGGAACGGAAACGACCATCGTAAAAAAAAGAGGAGATGGACGTTGCACATTTTTTTTCTCACCTGGAATTAACTCGACCGCTCGATAAATGCGCGCGACTCTCGATGCGAGCGCGTTGACTTTTGCATATTTATATATCGATTCATCAGCAGAATTTTGGGGATTTATATATTTTATATTATATATTTCAATCGATGATATAAATTATTTAAAAAAATGTGCACGAGAGAGAAAGAGAGCTGACATTAAATGTCATTCGAAGAGAATAAACTTGGCATTATTCTATATACGAGGAGGAATATACATAATTTTTTATATCTAAAAATATAAATGCAAATAGATTCATCGAAGCTTCGAATGTATATTCGAACCTTCGAAGAGGCGAGTTTTTACCTGGAAAGGGCGGACTTGAGTAAATATATGCCTATCGAATGCAGGTGGATCTCGAACGGTAAATGCACCGATGTTGGTCGCCCAATCTTAAATGGGACTACGATTGAAGGACAAGGCATCCGCGATGGGCGAGGAGCGACAAACGGTTTCTCTCTGTCGGCGTTTTGAGCACGTGTGATAATATTGACCCTCCACGATGGTGGCCAGAAATGAATGAGCGGCAAGAAATAGAATCCTGATCAAATATACGAAACAAGTTCGTTTTTTCCTCAAATTTTTCAATCGAGTCGTGAGTTCAAACAGCGTCGCACTTAATAACGAGAGACGGAAAGGATAACCGAATCGAAATTATATAAAATTTTATATATATATATATATATATATATCACTTTCACGACGCGTTATATTGAAAGCGATTAGATTCTATTAAAAATATTTTAAATAGAAACATGATTAAACATTTTATCGTGCCCGCGATTGTAAATATATATATATATATATATATATTTACAATCGCGGGCACGATAAAATGTTTAATCATGTTTCTATGACAATATTTTTAATAGTATCTAATCGCTTTCAATATAACGCGTCGAGAAAGTGCGTTTCGGGGGCAAAGAGGAGCTGTTTAAAAAAATCTCGTAGAAATCGAAAGAGAGGGAAAGGCGTGAAAATAAATTACGGTGGTTAACGCTGTGGCATCGTTATTCTCACCGTGGCGCGCCGGGTTACGAATTATATCATTCAAAAGTGTGTTTGCGGACGGTACCGTCATTACAATAATCACGGTAGAGCCGCGTTCGAGGATGCCATTGTTCTAGTCCCCGAATCGTATATTCGTACGTAGGTGTCTTATCTCGTATGGAAAGTGACGAGGGAGATGGTTGCATCCGCCGAAGCGGATCAAGTATCTCGGAATGGATAAACATTTATTTATTAATCGACTCGGAGTTTGAGGTTCCACATAAAACGAGCCTTTTCTATTTGCAGAATATATATATATTCTAATATATAATAATTTAATTAATTTAAATTAATGCAGCTAAAGAGGGAAGCAAAAGTCACGACATTCTTCTCTCTCTCTTCGTTCCACATATTTATAGTTACGACTCTAACTTTATCGAATACACCACTATGCATATCAAGAATTGCGAAATAAACCTGCTAATCGATTAGCTAAATCTGGAAGTTATTACACGACTAATTGTCGAATATTGAGGAAATTTCTGTATGATAATTCAATTAGATACAAGTTTTTCGATACGATAAAAATTATATATATATATATATATATATATATATATATATATATATATATAATTTTTATCGTATCGAAAAACTTGTATCTAATTGAATTATCATACAGAAATTTCCTCAATATTCGACTTTTATTGACACAAAACATAGAATGAAGTTTCTATTTTCTAAATGAGATAAGATTTTGATAACAATTGAGGATAACCGGAATAAATCAACGAAAAGGATATCCGATGCGGGTATAAGAACTATCGGAGTGAATAAACAAGTGGGCGGTTTCATCTTTCAAAAGAGAAAATCGCTCTCACATTTCCTCTCCTCTCTCTCTCTCTCCTATCTCGAGAATATCTACAGAACGTATCCGTGCATTATATTGTCATATTTTATCAATCGTCGCTTTTTCTCTATTTGACGATCTATTTGATATCTCTTCACGTCATTTTGGAAAGAAACCTGAATGAATAAATAAATAAATAAATAAATAAGATATATTTTACGCGAATGTTTTGCCTAAATATTATACACCAAACACACACACACACACACACGATTTTCTCTCTCTCTCCCTTTCCCTCTCCATAATCGCAACGAGGCGCGGCGCTGCGGTTTCATGAAGACATTTTAACGAGATTTAATATATCCTAGGCACGACAATAGCTAAATTTACCGAAGGCTAAGCCGCGGCGCGTTACCCTTCGCAACCACTGCAGATAACTGTGTCCGCCGTGATTTATCGCCGTGCACCGCCACCATCCGATCGTTTTATTGTTTATACCTTTATAGTTTCCACCGCTTCGCGAGTGCATGTGTATTCGCGCTCCGCAACAAAGACCCGTCGTGGGTGCGTGCCCTCGTACACATGACCCGAATGCGTGCACGCACGCGTGCTTCACCCGCGTGTGCGTTATGCCTCGACGCGGCCTGTAAATCATCGCCTAAACGCTCCGGGCACGCTCTTGCGGACGGGCGCGCTTCTAAATATTCTAATTACTAATATGGAACTATATCGCCTTTAATTGAGGGATCCCCGATTGTTGATTTGCGTTGGACGAATCGATGCTATGCTCGTTTAAACGGAATCGATAATTAAATGTGTCATTCGGGATAACATTACAGATTCTTCCAAAGATTAATGAGTAGCTATTTAGAAAATGCTTTGCTCTTGTATTGTATTTATTATAATAGCAATCAAGATTTCATTCATTCTGATTCTCTCTTTTCTCAGTGAGATTTCACTGTCTGCGTAATGTTATGCTTATATAATCATTGCTTATCAGTGATATAATTTCATTTAAAAGAGTAGCATCTACAAGGTCTTGTGACTATATTAATCGAAATGCATCGCGATAAAAACGATTCCTTTCCTCCTCATCATGATATGTATAAGTAATATGCATTATTAATAATACAGTTTTACATCCAGAGCGATTAATAATTTAATTAATTTAAATTAATGCAGCTAAAGAGGGAAGCAAAAGTCACGACATTCTTCTCTCTCTCTTCGTTCCACATATTTATAGTTACGACTCTAACTTTATCGAATACACCACTATGCATATCAAGAATTGCGAAATAAACCTGCTAATCGATTAGCTAAATCTGGAAGTTATTACACGACTAATTGTCGTGTCTTTAAAGCTTCGTGGAACTAGCGTTATATCGTACAAAAGAGTAATGTTATTCGAATATAAAATATGGAAATAGTTTCGAGAAAAAAATTTTTATCGATGTGTTAAAAAAATCCAATTATCGATAAATTTTACGCATCTTTTTAATGTAGTATCGGGACTCCTCCATAACGCGTAAGTGGGTGATGCGGAGAAGGTTGGACAGAGGGCCTACGAAATGTTTTTTACCGTGTAGGTAGCTTAATGGTTAGAGCAGTCGCCCGGCAAGCGGAAGGTTCCGGGGGTTCGAGTCCCGGTCTAGTCACCCGAAGGCCCGATATTCTTTTTCGCGGATCCCACAATTGGTGTCAGAAGTGGGATTCGAACCCACGCCCACACCAATTGTGGGATCCGCGAAAAAGAATCGGGCCTTCGGGTGACTAGACCGGGACTCGAACCCGGAACCTTCCGCTTGCCGGGCGACTGCTCTAACCATTAAACTACCTAGGTCCTCTGTCCAACCTTCTCCGCATCACCCACTTACGCGTTATGGAGGAGTCCCGATACTACACTCGGCCGTCCTGCATCAACATTCACCTTCGAATGTCGCCACGCGCCAATGCCACTGGGCTTTTGGGCCTCTTTCCCACCCCCAGCCAATACCCGCACCCGTCTCTTAACTCGTTTTGCCTCGTGTAGACCGAATCCTGCCTCCATCCCGGAACCCGTCGGATCGGATGCTTGCAATTGCAAAATTAGCTCCGTCTTGACACCCGTCGTCGGCAGTCCACGCGCGTTCAGTCTCTCCTTCAATTCCGCCACCGTCAAAGTACACTCTTCCGACATTTTTCTTTTCACTATCTCCTGCCACGTATTCACTTCCGGGAAGATCGAACCTTCTCGACCTCGAACCCTCCCGCCGCTTGCCAAATCCCGGACGAGCCCCCAAAGTTGTAGGATGTTATACTAATTTAGGTTTAGGCAATGACGAGAATGGTTCAATTAGAATATTGTTCGATCTTTAATAAAATATAAGAATATACACGCAAAACCAAAAGAAATCGAAATATAGTAATATAAAACTCTGCGTTTGCAGAACTCTCGCGCTCGCTTATAGTTTCGCTTCTCGGTATCTCGCAAGCGACTCTTCCCC